GGAGGGAAGATTGTGCCCAACATGGTGCAGCAGTGCAGGCAGAGGTACCCATGTGGGTATGCATTGTAACTGGGGGGAGAGGGGGCCAGGGCAGGGAGTGCGCTCACGTACCTGTGGGACAAAGTAGGAGGGTGCCTGGTGCAGCACATTCATGTGGTACATCTGGTACAGCCCAGGTAGCATGCAGCCCCTGCTGGTGTGGTCCCCAGGGGCTTAGAAATTGGACAGCCCTGCTTTAAACAGTCATTGGATACAACGCATACACAGTACAGGCAGCATACAGCAGGCTTGTTAATATGGTACCACATCTAACAAACCCCTTCCCAGTGGAGCTGGAATACATGCCTATATACTATTTGGAAAACCTTATAGAGTCTTACTCTGCCCCTCCCAAAGTAATGTTACTGTATCTGGGCTCCATTATATGCATTTATCTTTCTACTGAACATGTTTGGGGGTTCTGTATATATTTACATGCAGAAAATGAACAACCTAAATTTAAAGATATGATTTACAATGAGCTTACTTGATATTACGTGGCTTGTTATAAAACAACTGCCATCTGGAAGGAACCCGGATGGCACTATGAACTACTGGTTTAACCTGCAAAAAAAAAAAGAAAAAAAGGAAACATGCGTTATTACCCAATGCTAGATGTTTAAAATATTTTATTTTTAAACCACAGGTTAACGCTCATATAATTGTCCCAGTTTCAATGTTATCTTCACTTAATGGAAGGATGCAGATTAATATCAGTTAAATGAGAGTCTGAAAGAGCCCTCAATCTTTCGCTGCTTTATGTCTCCTACCCTCAAGACCCTGTGTCATGTTCACCATTTTTCCAGTAGAAGATTCTGTTCAGAGGTTGCTGGCTCAATTTAATCAACCAGAAAAGTACAATCAAGTGGCATAAGCTTGCTCCTATGAAAAACGTAGTTGACTCAGCAGCATTTCTAACACTTGGTACCCAAAAAATAAAACACTGGAACTTGGAATCAAAGAGGTTTCCATACAGGAATGCAGAACAGTAGTAAACACAGCAGAACAGATATAGCTGGCTTCATCTTCCAAAAACCTCTCTTCCCCAAGAGAGGAAAATTGTGATCACACAAGCATTTACATACTGACTGCCAACTGTTTGCCTTGAATTCTAGAGCCAATCTGGAGCCCAAGAACTGTGACAGTAAACTAAGGAGACATTAGGAGTGAGAGGCTCAGTAGGTGTAAAAGAATTGTCAGTCTCACAGTAACACTAACAAAACACTCAGCAAAACTCAACCGCAACAACATCAAACCCTATGAAGTTACCCTAACAAACTGTGGCTGAAACCAAAGTACTGTAACATACTGTGTGTACTGAATGTAATACACTGCAATGTGAATATGCGACAGCAGGAGAGCAGCCCCACTGACTCTGGATTTGGACTACAACTCCCAGGAGTCCCTGGGCAGAAGTCTTACAGACTGTGCTGACTGCAAGTAGCCTACAACCCCCACCCCCAGACACTGGGAGCTGGCAGACAAAGGGAAAGGAGGTAGGAAGCAGGCAGAGCCTGGGATGCAGCGGCAGAGGGAAACACATGGCCAGAGATTCTGGAGAAGTGACAGAGCTGGGACTGTAGCACCAGGACTCAGATGTGGAAGCACATGCAGACAACTGAGCACTCTCAGGACCAGAGGCTGGTTTGGAAGCACCTCTGCAGGCATGGGAGGGTTTAAAGTTCCTTGAGCATATGTACCACACTGGTAGCGCTCACTACCTATTACCTGGTCTTGAGTGAATTCACCACAGCTTACTACCTCTTACCCAGTTCCTACGTGTATGTACCTTAATGTTAATGTTTATTTACCTGTACCTGTTCCTTTCTCCTCAGCCCGTTGGCTTGTGACCCTAACACCTAGCATTTTCTATATAAAAGTGGGAACTACCCTTTTCAGCTTCCTGTGCCAGTTCCTGGGGCTGTGGGGTTTGGCACAGTACTAAAAAAAAAAAAAAAAAAAATAGCATTCAATCAAAAATCACTCAAAAAAACAAGTGGAACACCTGGAAAAGAGGTACATATGAGCTAGTACACAAACGCATGATGACCAAACTCTTGATTAATTTATAACAATGCATCTCTGTTGTATGATGAATGACATATAGGAAGCATTGTCATTGGATACTCTGGCTCTCTGCATTCGGCGTATATGAAAAATGTATGTGACAAGACACAAAAAAATTCAGTAGGTAGCCCACATAATGCATACCAGAGGTGACCTATCCATCTGGCCTGTGGGCCAAATAAGTGACATGGGATCAGTCCACAGGCCAGATCTGGCATGTGGGACCATGTCATCTGGCCTGCAGGGCTCCCCTGAAGGGACAAAGCAGGACGGCTTTGTACCTGGGGCCACCGCAACACACAGGGGAGCGCCAACTGCTACCATGCCAATGGCAGTGACTCAGCCACTACAGTGGACACTGTCTTCGCATCCCCTGACAAAAGATGATGCCCACGGCAGCTGCCACAGTCACCCTCCCCTCAGTTACGTTATTCCCTACAAGACGGGAAATTTGGGGGTAGGGGAGCAGTGGAAACATTAACTGCCACCAGAGCCATAGCAATTAATGCTGCCACTGCCCCATGACATGACATTTCCAAAATCATAAGGGCAGATGACTGGTCCATGTACCAGATCTAGCCTGTGAGCCATAGATTGAGCACCATATAAATTTTGTATATTTTCTTTCTATCAGCAATCAATAAAACTAAGAAACCTTCTTTATAACTGTGTCAAAATATGCGAAAGCCTACTAATCAATACTTAGGCTAATTGTTCATAATGACATTAGGAATGATCTGCAGTTGACTTTATCAACATTTGTTTTAGCACAGTAGAATTTAGAGGTATCCTTCTTCCTCTTAAGATAATGTAAATAGAGGATTGTTTTCATTTCTTAAATGTTTCTTTAACAATAAAGTATGATTATGGCAAATACCAATCATGTCTCATTGCCTGTAATTTTAAAAGCATGCAAAAATGGGCCTGATCAGGGCAACAGTTATTATCAGGCATAGGACCAAATCTTATTTCATCTTATTTCATCTCTATGCATCTAAAAGGACCTGGGGGTTACAGTGGACAGTAATCTGAATATGAGCCAACAATGCGCCCTTGTTGCGAAGAAAGCTAACGGCATACTAATATGCATTAGTAGGAACACTACCAGCAGATCGACAGAAGTGATTGTTCCCCTTTATTCTGCACTGGTAAGGTCACATCTGGAGTACTATGTTCAGTTTTGGGCCCTCCACTAAAGAAAGCATGCGGACAAGTTAGAGTCAGTTCAACAGAAGGCAACAAAAATGGTTCAGGGGCTACAGCACATGACTTCTGAGGAGAGGCTGAGGGAATTGGACTTATGTAGTCTGCAGAAGAGAAGACTAAGGGGAGATTTAATAGTAGCCTTTAACTACCTGAAGGGAGGTTCCCAAGTGGGTGGAGCTGGACTGTTCTCTGTGGTGATAAGATGACAGAACAAGGAGGAATGATCTCAAGTTGCGGTAAGGGAAGTTTAGGTTGGATATTAGGAAAAACTCTCTCACTAGGACAGTGGTGAAACACCGGAACGGGTTACCTACTGAGGTGATGGAATCTCCATCACTGGAGGTTTTTAACCCGGCTAGACCAAGTCTTGACTAGGACGATCTAGTTGGGGATGGTCTTGCTTCGAGCAGGGGGTTACTTCATCCCTTCCAACCCTAATTTTCTATGATTCTTCCCCCTACAGCCTACCTGCGCCCCCAACCACCTGCACCCCCCCACAGCCTCTGCCTCCCTTCCCCCCCACTCCCCAATCTCTCCCTCTTTCCCCTCTGACCATGAGATTTCTTTTGGTCCTATCATCCAATTTTTCTAGGTCACTCGGAATCCTAGCCCTACCCTTCAGTGTATCTACTATTCCTCCTAGCTTGGTGTCATCCGTGAACTTGCATTGCATCCCATCTTCCAGATCGTTAATGAAGATATTGAACAAAGCTGGCCCCAGGATTGACCCCTGGGGCACTCTACTTGATACCAGCTGCCAATTACACACTGAGCCATTTATCACTACACGTTGAGCCCGACAATCCAGCCAGCTTCCTATCCACCTTACAGTCCATTCATCCAACCCATACTTCCTTAGTCTGGAAGTATGTGGGAGGGGGCAGAGGGCAAGGTGGCCACTGACTCCACAACCCCCACAGCCACTGCTTTCCCTGCTGTAGCTGCTTTTTTTTTTTTTTTTTTTTTGGGGGGGGGGGGGGGCCCCTAGGGAGAGATTCAAGACAACCCTCCAGTACTCTATACCTGAAAACTTATAGCAAATGTATAAATGTTCCATATACAGGATCTAATTATTGGGGGGTCATCTTATATTCAGGGGTGTAGTATGCTTGAGTAAATTCCATATATATATTAGCAACACCCCTATGATGTAGAGATGTACTACTGTGCCTATTTTATGGATGAGAACTGAAGTACAAAAGGGATACATATATCAGTCTATGTGGAATGTTAACCTAATTATATAGTAAGGTGTGAATTCAACCAAACAAATTTACAGCAATCTAACTTCCTATGTGTACACATTTTTCCAGTATAAGTGCCTTTTTCTAGCTTTCTTAATTTGCATAAACCAAAGAAGGCACTTAATTTCAGCATAAAATCATCCAGAAAGGGATTATTATAATATAACTATACTGATTTAATTATACTTACCAAGGCTGTGTTACTGCAAAAAAGGACCTAGGGATGATAGTGGACTCTAAGCTGAATGTATTTATTTATTTGTTTGCTTACTAGATATACATTCTGTACTACCCAGAAAAGGCTCATGGTAGCTGACAATAAAAAAGATAAGTTATAAGAACAAATAAAGTATTACAATAGCATGTAACAAACAAAAAACTCCAAACAGTGCCCCAATATTTAACCCCTCTTGCTAAAAGTCTGCTGTCATGGCATGGGGTCCCTAGGTATCGCCATGATGCCACTAGGGCTCCATGACCATGCCAACCCTGCCCTACGGGCACCCTTTTTCTCGCCTGCCATGTCTTGCTGGTAATTGTAGTAAATAGGGAGGCTGCCCTCAAGTTTATGTTTGGACACAATCCTGATGGACCCCACTGAACCCTGTGGGTGCCTAAACCCTTTTTTGGGTCCCACTCTCAATGGATGCTTCTCAGGATACCCTCATCCTTATGGGCTAAATGCATGCCTCCAAAACGGCTCCTTTACCATGCCCCATCTCTCGCAGGTGGTATTCAAACACTGTCCCTCTGAGGCTTTAGTCTAAGCTCAGCCTCCTATCATCACTGGGTTCTCTGCAGCCCCGGCTCTGCGGCTTCCCTGGCGCTGCACTCTCCACAGCCCCTTTGTCTCTGCACCCCCTGGTGTTGGGGTCTGCTCACCCCTGTCGCTGTGCCCGCTGGCGCTGGGGTCTCCACACTGCAGTGTGCCCCAATGAGGCCTCCTCCTCCCCAGTAGCCTCAGTCTGTTCCACCAGTTTAAATAACGACAGAAAACAGAAGCTCCTGGCATATAACATAATACGAACAGTGCAGGGTGCACTCTGT